AACAAATTGGAAGAGCATTGTGGTGAGATGATGATTCTTGAGCTGTAGTTGACAAGTTCTGGGTTGAGGATGTGCCGTTAGAGTCAACCAGCGAAACATAAGAATGTTATATATAGGTACGCTTCGCTGTGTGCCTTGACCCTGTGCCGTAGCAATGGTAACACAGTCACAGCACATCCCGTCCCATTGTGGCAGAGCGCACAATGTCACTAAGCGCTCTCGTCAGCACCATTATACATGTCACCGGTTCGTAGTTGTTCCGTTCGGCAGGGGCCTACAGTACAGTGCATCATAGTTGCCTGTGAGATTTTAGTGCTCTTATTCAATGGTTATGGCTTGTCTGTAGAAGATTCCAATTGGTAGGGTGATCGTCTTTGGAATCTTTTATAACAAGGTGGAGCTTCCAATGACTTTTGCGCAGTGCTGTACCAATAGGCGCTGCTTAGCCCACGTGTCCACCGTTTTCGACTTTATGTAGGTGCGGAATGGATGGAATCGTGACGGGCAGAATCAGAGGTACACTTGTAGGACGAGCAGCGAGCGTACAGAACACGTTACCCTGGATAATGAACAATTTTTCTTCATGTGAACCGATATGCTTGCCTTAGTCGGAACAATGTGGGTGAGCAGAGATATTTAATCCTTGACGCTCCGTCTTTTCTTGTCTCTAATTTACCGCGCCTCTCTAGTTCATTATTTTGCAACCCAAAGCTTGAAGGCATCTCTCTCGGGCGTTGCAACCGTACGGAAGATTAAGTACCCGAACGTATTCAAGCCATATTGACCGTTGAATAGTTAGAATGGGTCCACCAACTTCGTGGCTCTACACGGCGACGGTCTTGCTCGGTCTTACCTGGCCCGGACTGGCCAGTTGTCCTACTCATTCCCTTGACGAACTTCGCTGGAGGGTGGAATGCTTTGGCGAAAACTATAACCCATGGCCACAAAGCGTATGGGACACCGTGTGGGATGTGAGGGCCCAAATATGCGAAACAGAGGGGACACAGAATGCTGTTTACGTTAGAAATCGCCATGCCTATGGGTACAGATTCTACGACGACGGTAGCTGGAACGAGGCGAAGCTCTGCTGCTTTGATGCGATGGAGGCTATCATTTGGTCCTGCATGGACACAGCGGCAGGGAAGAGAAGCTCGGGCGGAAAGCTATGCTTGGCCAATGATGGGAAGTGCTTGAATCGCTACCAAATTGAGGGAATACTCTAACACTACTTGCTGAATTTGACAGACATAGGAGACTGTTAAGCCACTTCGGCAAAGTAGTCCAGTCGCCAAGTTGCTTCTTTGCGTAGATCGCCCGTGTCAGAGATGACCTACAACTTTTAGAGCGGTACCCTAAGTGACAGACTTGTCGTTGAGCTTTGCCGCAAGAGGCAACCCACTTGATAGCGTACAGCACATCGCGTTAATGCCCATAAATATATGCTCAGCGTTAGCGTGCGTCTATATCTCAGCCAAAGCCCTGCATGGTGCCCATTGTGCAAGTGGCCGCTGGGTCGAAGTTGACCGTATCGGTATCAGATGGCGCAGAAGCCGTGATATTTGGCATGGAAACTCCAGGGGCTGCTTATTGTACGGCCTCAATCGCGTAAGTCCTATCACCGTAAACGATGCCGATTCCCTACCGAATTAATGTCGAGTTGTTATCAACCCGCGCCTCTAGTATTGCCAGGGCCTTCACTGGACGAAAGATAACCAATATTGTCCTCTAAGGGCGTCACATGCAGCCCTCAGACCTTCAGGAACTGGACGACATAGAGGCAGCCGGGGTCTTGGTGGATGATGTAGCCTTTGGTTCACCCACAACAAACTGATCGGCGGCGGTATCTTGATTCCTCAAAGCTGATTCCTCAAAGCAACGGACCGTTGCCGAGCTTTCTGTACAAAGTTATACGTTAAGTAGGCTTCAGGTGCAAGTACTGCGACACTGCGCATGCGCAAGCGCTCTCGTAAGCACCACTGTACCTGTCGTTCTTTCTGATTGGTGTCTCTGGCTGTGTCCTGCCGGGGATAGCCTACCATCTCCGTTTAAGTAAGAATTTAGTACATAATGTACAGTATGTATCATATAGAAATCCGTTTCTACGTACAGATGATTCCAATAAGTACGTAAAATTTCAGCATTGGACTTTGGAATCGTTTATGCCCTCGTCAGAACTTCCAAGAAACTTGAATAAATGCTGTACCAATCAGTAACCATAAGCCGCGCTACCCGTCGTCGGCTTTCGACTCGCTCGTAAGCAAGACGGGAGAAGCACGAGGTATCTTGAGATAACGACTTGCACATGTGCCCCGTACAATGTACAGTGCTTCATAAAGTTACAATGCGTTCGCGTTGGCTAAAAAATGGGAGCGTTGCGAGTTATTTAACCTGAGCCGTTCCCTCATGTCTGTGGATGATCGAACCGCAGGCCTCCGTCAGGGCTTTCTGTTCTTATTTAGATTTCTTGCAACACGACCCTAAATCAGCTCTAAATAAGCTCGCAAAGGTGTAGAAACAAAGGTACATTCTCCTGAGGTCGAACAATACTGACCTCTTGAACTGATAGAATGGTGTCAACACGATCGTGGTTCTACTCGGCGACCGTCTTGCTCGGCCTTGCCTGCCGCGGGCTCACTAGTTGTCCTACTCATTCCCTTGACGAACTCCGCTGGAGAGTGAGATGCTTTGGTGAAAATCAGAATTCATGGCCGCAAAATGTGTGGGATACCGTGTGGGATGTGAGGGCCCAAATATGCGAGACGCAAGGAGGACCAAATCTGGTAAGCGTCAGGGATCGCCACGCCTACGGGTTCAGGTTTTACGATGACGGTAGCTGGAACGAGGCGAAGCTTTGCTGCTTTGATGCGATGGAGGCTATCATTTGGTCATGCATGGATACAGCCGCAGGAAAGAGAAGTTCAGGGGGCCAATTATGCCTCGCTGATGACGGAAAATGTTTGAATCAATATCAACTCGAAGGGATACTGTAACCAAACCACACTCACAGCTGCCCGATTGGCATGATGGTCTCGAATAAATCTCGACTACTTATCTCTGCAACAGGGTGATCATGCTCGTGAACTGTAAACATGAGCATAACCATGCTTAAGTTCTCTCCGACCCGGCAGTATTACACAGTGGTCTCTTTGACTATGCCATTAGTATGGTCTACGGTGACATAATCGATGATGCTGCAGTGAAAAAGGCTGTATTCTCGATCACCAGCGCTCAAACATCACCCCTCGCTTGCGGACAAGCAGTGACAGGCTAGAGAAATCAGATCTGTTGTCATATGACATGGTGCAAAGCCATCGGCCCCCAAACACCCGGTTGTGGCGACACAGGCGCAAGGCTCTGAGTTTGCGATGTTTTTAAGTTGCCAGTATATACGTGGCCTCGTACTATAATTTGAAGAGTAATCAAGTACTTAGTGAGTATGGATTCGGCAGTTGTAGACCTCGCACAAGACTGTTCAAGCTTTCCGTGCTTTCCCGACTACCATGTGTCTCTCATCGACAGGCTGGGAAATATATCTACCGAAGTAGATGAAATGTAGATGTAGATCGATGTAGATCTACATCTACCTATCTACCATCGCCCCCAGTGGGTCATCTATCTATCAACCTAGGGGTCTGGTAGATAGACGAAATGCAGACAGATGTCCAGAAAAATAGAGGAAGTAGAGGTACTTCATACCATGTGTGTCGCTACCATTTCTGAAGGTACCGGTACCTACACTACTGTCCCGGATCCAGACCCAGACATGCTTGCTTTTTCGAACCCCTTTTCCCCTGAGCCAGGCGGAAAGTCAGTGCGTGCGACCCAGGTAGATAGATGACATCTACATGTAGCCTACTTAGCCTACAACTACCTATCTATCTTACGGCCTATGACTAAGCCGCTACATCTATCTACCAGAGCTGCCGGTAGATAGATGTAGATAGATTCCCCACCCTGCTCATCGAGGTAGCTTGAAACGCGGTCAGTGTCTGCTGTTGAGGGCGAATCCACAGCGAGAGCACAATATCGCGCGCTCTGGTTCGTTGTAGTGCAGACCAAGCGCACGCAGCTTTTCAATGACTCTTGGTGTTGTTCTTGGAAAGGTCGTAGTTTCCACCAGTTCGAGGTCAACATGGTGGTCCTGCCCCTCGTCGACTGGCGCAACTTCCAGAGCGCTATCCTGATGCAGACGAACACATCCTTCTTGGTCCAGTCACTTGTGACTCGGATGCTAATGCTACATGTCTAAGGCATATCCCATCGCGCCGTAACGGACCAGCTGGATCTTATCATGGTCATCACACCCAAAAGGGGCTTCGTCTTCCAAGATGACCTTCATTTGCGAACTCTACAAGGGCGTTTGATGAAGAGGGCTACAACCAGTGG